CTTGCAGCTGCTGTACCTCGTTTCGCTTCCATGCTGCTTGCCCCTGAGGGAGACTCGGATGCACCAGACATCCTGACACAACGCTCTTACTCATAGGCAATTACGGGTCCTTACTCCTCTTAGTGGCAGGCAGCCATGGATGCCGAGATGGCATCTTGAAATTCCACAGGCACCTACGTGGACGCAGTTCCCCCATCTCAGGCGAACATAATCAAGGTGAAGCGGCCGCCGCGTTCTCCGCCTGCCTTCAAGGCACGTTACCTTGCTAGAGGCTTCAGTCAGCGACAGGGGGTCGACTACTTCCAGACCTTCTCCCCCACCCCGAAGATGACTACTCTTCGGGTGTTGCTGCACGTCGCTGCGCAGCGTGACTATGAGTTACACTCTCTGGACTTCAGGACAGCTTTCTTGCTGGGCAGCTTGCACGAGGAGATCTGGCTGCGCCGCCCACCTGGCTTCACCGGGTCGTTTCCTGCACGTACCCAGTGGAGCCTTCGCCCGCCAGTCTACGGTCTCCGCCAGGCGCCTCGCGAGTGGCACGACACACTGAGGACTACACTTGCGGCTCTGGGTATTACTCCTTCTACTGCTGACCCGTCACTGTTTCTAGGCACCGACACGTTGCTGCCGCCGTTCTACGTCCTCGTCTACGTCGATGACCTTGTCTTTGCCACTGCTGAGACTGTGGCACTGACCCTTGTGAAGTCAGAGCTGTAGAAGAGACACACCTGCACTTACCTGGGTGCACTGCGCAGCTATCTTGGCTTGCAGATCACCCGAGACAGAGCACGGCGCACCATCACACTGACTCAGTCACACATGGTGCACCAGGTCCTCCAGCGCTTCGGCTTCCAGTTCTCCCCGCCTCAGCCCACTCCTCTGTCTATCGGCCACTCGCTCTTTGCTCCACCTTCGGACGAGTTTGTAGAGCCAAGTGGTCCGTATCCAGAGCTTGTGGGTTGCCTCATGTACCTAATGACGTGCACACGACCTGACCTTACATACCCTCTCAGCCTCCTGGCTCGCTAGGTTGCTCCTGGTAGGCACCGAAAGGTGCATTGGGATGTTGCGAAGAGGAGACTGCGTTACTTGTGCAGTACATTGGGCATGGGGCTCATGCTTGGAGGACAGGGTCCAGTTGTCCTTACGGTCACACAGACGCTTCTTGGGTTGACGACTTACCTACGCAGCGGTCGTCATAGTGTTAAAACCTTCAGCCTCAGTTCCGGCTCTGTTTCCTGGTGGTCTACCCTCTCGTCTTCGATTCTCAGCTCCATTTGTGAGGCTAAGATCTACGCAGGGGCCATGGCTGCGCAGGAGCTACGTTGGCTCACCTACCTGCTGACTGACTTGGTAGAGCAGCCTCGTTCGCCTCCAGTTCTGTAGGTAGACAACAAGGCCATGATTGCCTTGTGTCAGTAGCACAAACTGGAGCACCGAACAAAGCACATTGCTCTGCGATACTTCCTTGCTCAAGAGTTGCAGCAGCGTGGCCAGCTTCGTCTTGCGTAGGTGGTCACTAGGGCCAACACTGCTGATATATTCACCAAGGCACATCCGCCTGGTGATCATCAGCGCTTCTCTACTGTGTTAGGCCTTGTGCCTACTTTGCCTCACTTGCTCACTACGTGACTTTGCTTGTACTATGATCTATACGTCAGAATCCCAACCACTAGACCATTGGGATAAAAAGGCTTGTTAAGTAGCGGGTCAGTGCGCCCATAACCCCCCAGGACAACGAGCCTGTAACCCTTCCCTAGGATCAATCGGGGATCACCAGTGGACCTTTGACACCCCCCCGTGTGAAGAAACAGGAATGAATGAACTAGCCAGAATGTTGGGTACAAGTAGGAAAACCTTGAAAATGTTGTACCCCATATGGTCTAACCCACTACAGCCTACAAAGACTATAACATATATGTTTGACACACCCCCATAGGCAAAGTGGGGGAGAACAAGGGGTCACAAGACCAGTCAAGCAAAGCAAAGCAAGCTCAGGGTGGATCACAAAGTCACCACACAATCTGAGCACAAGAGCAAGGCCAAAAGGCCAGTTCACATGCAGGATCATATATATATAAAAGAAAACAAGCAAGTGCAGGTATAGAAACAAAAACAGTACAAGCAAGATCAAGAAGTGAGCAAGTGAGGCCAAGTAGGCACAAGACCTAGCAGAGTACAGAAGCGCTGATGATCACCAGGCGCCAGTGCCTTGGTGAAGATATCAGCAGTCTTGGCCTTAGAGGCCACGTAAGCAAGGCGCAGCTGACCACGCAGCTGCAGCTCACGAGCAAGGAAGTAGTGAAGAGCAATGTGCTTCGCTCTGTGCTCCAGTCTGTGCTCTCGACACAAAGCCAGCGTGGCCTTGTTGTCTACGTACAGAACTGGAGGAGAACGAGGCTGCTCTCCTAGGTCGGTCACCAGGTAGGTGAGCCAGCGCAGCTCCTGTGCAGCCATAGCCCCCGCGTAGATCTCAGCCTCACAGCTGGAGCTGGGAACAGAGGACGAGCGAGTAGACCGCCACGAAACAGAGCCGGAGCCGAGGCTGAAGGTGTAACCCTGAGACGACCGCTGCGTAGCCTGGTCGTCAGCCCAAGAAGCGTCGGCGTGACCTGTGAGGACCACTGGACGTCGCCCTCCAAGCACTAGCCCCATGCCCGACGTACTGCACAAGTAGCACAACACCCTCTTCGCTGCAGCCATGTGCTCTGGTCGGTGTCTCCCAGGAGCAACATAGCGTGCCAAGATGCTAAGAGGGTATGCAAGGTCAGGTCGAGTGCAGGTCATCAGGTACATGAGGCAGCCAACAAGCTCTGGGTACGGGCCACTCGGCTCTACGGACTCATCCGAAGGCAGAGCTGAGAGCGAGTGGCGAGTAGACAGAGGAGTGGCCTGAGGCGAGGAGTACGTGAAGTCGAAGCGCTGAAGGACCTGCTGCACCATGTGTGACTGAGTCAGTGTAATGGTGCGCTGTGCTCTGTCCCGGGTGATCTGCAAGCCAAGGTAGCTGCGCAGTTCACCCAGGTCTGTGCACGTGTGTCTCTTCTGCAGCTCGGACTTCACGTGGGCTAGTCCAGCAGTGTCAGCTGTGGCAAAGACCAAGTCGTCGACGTACACGAGGACGTAGAACGGCGGCAGAGAGGTGTCGGTGCGTAGAAACAGCGACGGGTCAGGAGTAGAAGGAGCAAACCCAAGAGCCGCAGGTGTAGTCTTCAGTGTGTCGTGCCACTCACGAGGTACCTGGCGGAGACCGTAGACTGGCCGACGGAGGCTCCACTGGGTGCCAGGAGGGAACGACCCAGTGAAGCCAGGAGGGCGGCGCAGCCAGATCTCCTCGTGCAGGCTGCCCTGCAGGAAAGTTGTGCTGAAGTCAAGAGAGTGAAGCTCGTAGTCGCGCTGAGCAGCAACGTGCAGTAGAACCCGAAGAGTGGTCATCTTCGGGGTCGGGGAGAAGGTCTGAAAGTAGTCAACTCCCTGCCGCTGACTGAAGCCTCGAGCCACGTAACGCGCCTTGAAGACAGGCGGAGAACCCGGCGGCCGCTTCACCCTGAAGATCCACATGCCACTGACGATGTTCGCCCCAGGCGGGGGAACCTCGTCGACGTAGGTGCCTGTGGACTTCCAGGAAGCCATCTCTGCATCCATGGCTGCCTGCCACTGAGAGGAGTAGGGACCCTCGATCGCCTCAGCGTATGATCCAGGAGTCGGGATGTCAGGTGCATCCGGGTCTCCCTCAGGGGCAAGCAGCGTGGACACGAGATGAGGCAAAGCAGCAGCAAAACACTGGAACTCCTCCTGTCTGTCCTCAAGGACGTCCGTGCTAAGAGCACACTCACCCCCGACGGACGGAGGACAGACAGACGCAGACTCAGCAACAAGACTAGCAGCGTAGTCTAGACGACAGCTAGTAGCAAAGTCGACAAGCTCAGCAACTAGGGCAGACGCAGCAGTGGACGCAAGAGAAGGATCAGTGACAGCTGTAGCCAGGAATCGCGCGATAGTAGGACTGGCAGCACGAAGGGAGTCAGACACCGGGTCAGGAAAGGCAGGGAGAGAGGTCGCAGGAGGAGACGGCAGCGGGACACGCAGAGGAGCAGTGGAAGGACGCAGTGCCATCTGGTGTGTGCCTGGGAACGCAGGAGGACGCGGACGACTAGTGCGACGACTAGTGCAAGCAGGGCGAGCAGGCGACGCAGGGCGAGACGCAGGCGCTCGACGCTGAGCAAGACCTCCAGTAGGACCAGTGTAGGGAGAAGGAGCAGGTAGGGGAGAGACAGGCTGTAGCAGAGACTGCAACTGGACAGGCTGTGGACACTCGAGAGGAGGGGCAGGACTAGGAGAGGGCAGGAGACCAAGAACCTGCTCAAGGAGCGGAACAAAGTACGGCCTCGGCCGCGAAGCACCGCCAGAACCAGCGGGGACAGCACCAGGACTCCCAGCAGGAGCACCAGCGCCAGTAGCACCTCCAGCTCCAGCAGCACCAGCTCCAGCACCCTCGGACGGACCAGCGTCAGCAGAACCACCAGCGCCAACACCCCCAGCAGCTCCAACTCCAGTAGCTCCAGCAGCTGCAGGCCCAGCAGAAACGGCAGCACCAGTACCGCCAGAAACTCCAGCCGAGCCCCCAATAGGGCCAACTCCAGCAGCCTCAGCAGCACGACTCCAGCGCCGGGCAAACCACTCGCGTAGCTCCCGCGGAGAGAGGACCTCCCGCCTCGACGAAGCACCGCCGGAGGCCACACGAGCAGACCCAGCACCTCCAGGCTCAGCACCCCCAGGCTCAGTAACACCAGGCTCAGCACCCACAGGCTCCGTACCCCCAGTCGCAGCACCCCCAGGCTCAGCACCCCCAGGCTCCGCACCCCCAGGCTCAGCACCCCCAGGCCCAGCACCCCAAGTCTCAGCACCCCCAGACGCAGTACCCCCAGACCCGGCACCTGCAGGCTCAGCACCTGGAGCAGCACCTGAGTCAACAGCTACCTCGACAGGCTCAACAGCGTCTACCTGAGACACACCTGACGGGGCGGGACCCTGAGGGGGGAGGGGGTCTACCGGGGGAGGACCTGGTGCAAGGAAGAGTGACGGCGGGGGGAGAGACGCAGTGCGGTAGGGGAAGAGACGGTAGTAAGGCACCGACTCGTCGAATGTGACGTCCTGGGAGGACAGAACACGGCGCGAGGTGGGGTGGTAAAACTGCCAACCAGAGTCTGCAGTGGAGCCTCTCTCGGAGGAAACTCAGAGGAGTGAGGGGCAGCGCGCTGCCGCCCCTCGACGCAAGGGACGCAAGTGGGGGCAGGCCCCGGAGGAAGGGGTGGGAGGGACCGGGGGAGACCAGAGACAAGGACACGGGAGGCCATGCCTCGAAGACGAGGCAGGGAGGGGTGACCAAGGCGGTGGTGCCAGAGAAGAGTCTGGTGGGACAGGAGGCGACACGAGCAGGGCCCAGACTCAGGACCAGACCCTGACGCAGCGGCAAGCACCTGACTGGACGCAGCTACCTGACCCGACGCAGACACGGGAGGAGACTCAGTAGACAGTGTGTACAGGCTCGAACCCAGGCGACGGGTAAACGTGGCCAAGTGGCGGCCCGTCCGAGCACACGTGCAGTGGGTCACTCGCTGACTAGCAGGAGTGATCTGGTCAACCCCCTGATCCTGGAGATCAGCTCCACTCACCAAGTTCGTAGAGAACGAGGGAAGGTAGAGACCTGACAGAGAGCCAGAGGGGGCTGCCGGGCACGGTAAGACAGTGGAGAAACTAGCAAGGACAGGACCCCCAGAGGGGTCCGCCAGGGAGACTGCAACCGGCCGACTGAGCGGCGTAAGAGTGGTGCGGTCTCGAAAGAAGGAGCGGGAAGCACCCGAGTCAAGGGTGAAGGTGTGAAAGACCTGAGCCGACGCGGTACCTGAGGGAGCAGACTCACCAGCACCTTGGGCAGCGGACGCACTCGCACCTAGCGCAGCAGTCTCACCAGCACCTAGAGCAGCAGCCTCAATGCCCGGGTCAGGCGGTACACACAGGTAACAGTCACCCTCATCACTAGTAGACACAGCATACATAGCAGCAAGGATAGCATCATAATCAAGATCAAAGACAGCAACCCCAGCCCTAGACAGGTCTCCCCAGCGAGGGATCTCAGTGGCGTCGGGGAACTGGTGACGCCACGCGTCCGTCAGGGCGGCCGAAGCAGCGCTGGGTGGAGTGCGGGCCCCCACACTGCTCACCAGTGCGGTCTCCGGTACGGAGAACGTAGGTGCAGGGGCCAGCACCTCCACCTCGCTGACGCCCTGCGTACCACTCACGAAGCTGCTGAGGGGAGGGGGTCTCACGACTGCGCTGCTGCTGCTGGCGCTGACCACCACCGGAACCACTCCGCTGTGTACCTCCGCGACCAGCTCCACCACTGCCTCTGCCGCCTCCGCCACCTCCACCGCCTCCGCCACCCCCGCCGCCACCACCGCCACCACTGCCTCCACTACTGCTGCCGACACCTCCACCACCACCACCACCCCCACTACCACCCCCACTCCCCCCACTGCCTCCACCACCACCGCCACCGCCCCTGCCACCCCAACGAGCGCCCCTGCCCCCCTTGCCCTTGCCAGTGCGACGGCCCCCACTAGGGACAGACGCAGCACCGACCGACTCGAAACCACCAAGGTCGGCCGTAGCAGCAGAAGCAACAGAGGGCAAGAGGGGGGAGGGGGAACACCCCTCAAAGATAGGGGTGCGAGGGTCACCACGAGAGGCTCCTACAGCGACTATGCTCTGCTCGGCCGCTAGGAGACGCTCCTCGAGGAGGTCAACGGTGAGGGTGGTGGGGCAAACTGAGAGGAAGTGGTCCCTGACTACGCGAAGGGTGTCAGGGAGTCGGGTGACTACGTAGTAAAGAGTGAGGTAGAGGGGGGGAGGGTTCGTGGCACAGAACTCAGCAGGAAGCGCAGCGCGGTAGCGTGCGTCACTAGTGCGCAGGTGCGTAATGAGGTCAGCGACTGTGGGAAAAGCAGCAAGGTCAGGGAACTGGTAAGGCAGGAAGAGGCGGCTAAGGGCAGCAGTGGCAGGGGAAGAGTAGCGCGCAACTACAGCGTCGTACAAAGTCTGAGCACTCCTGTACTGTCTAAAGTGCGCACGCTCAGTGGTCGGTAGGTGGCGACGCACAGAAGGACGTGCAGCAGCATCGCGTGTGGCCCACTGTGAGCGGACAGTGCTGTCAGCAGTAGCAGGCGGGGCAGGAGAGAGACCAGAGGTAAGATCAAAAACAGAGAGTCCGTCCGCCCTATCGCACTGTAAGAAAAGCTGGAGGTCATCGAGCCAAACCTCAAAGTCAACTGCACGACCCTCAGCATCAAAGGTAAGGACACTAGGGGTAGCCATGACTGCAGGGACCAGTAGGGAATGATCTCACCAGCAGGCAGGGCCGGGGCACGGCAGCCGGTGTAGGGGCAGTGCTGCTGTAGGGCAGCTCGGCGGCTCGGGAGGCGGCTCGGCTGCAGCTCAGCGGCAGCTCGGTAGCGGCTCGGGCGGCGGCTCGGGCGGCGGCGCGGGCGGCTGCTCGGGCGGCGGCACGGTGACAGCGGCTCGGCGGCGGCTCGGGCGGCGGCTCGGTGCAGCGGCTCGGGCGGAGGCTCGGGCGGCGGCTCGGGCAGCGGTTCGGGCGGCGGCTCTCGCGGCGGCTCGGGCGGAGGTTCGGGCGGCGGCTCGGGCTGCGGCTCGGGCGGCGGGCCGGTCTCGGGCTGCGGCGCGGGCGGCGGCTCGGGCTGCGGCTCGGGCGGCGGCTCGGGCTGCGGCTCGGGCGGCGGCTCGGGCAGCGGCTCGGGCTCGGGGCCGTGGTAGAGGAGGGGGGGGGGGGGGGGGGGGGGGGGGGGGGGCGCGCCAGGGTCCAGGTAGGGGCCGCGTCAAGGGGCCGTTGGTGAGGGCCGGGTAGGGGCCGCACCAGGGGCCAGGTAGGGGCCGGGTAGGGGCCTGGTAGGGGTCGTGGCAGGGGCCAAGTAGGGGCCGGGTAGGGGCCGCGCCAGGAGCCAGGTAGGGGCCGCGTCAGGGGCTGGTAGGGGCCGCGGCAGGGGCCAGGTAGGGGCCGGGTAAGGGCCGTAGGGGCCGCAAGGGGCCTGGCGGGGCCGCGCGAAGGGGCCGCAAGGGGCCTGGAGGGGCCGGGATGGGCCGCGACGGGCCGCGACGGGCCGCAATGGGCCGCGCGAAGGGGTTGTGAAGGGTCTCAGGGGCCGCGAGGGGCCGGAAGGGGGGGGGCGCGACGGGCCGTAGGGGCCAGAAGGGGCCGCGCTAAGGGGCGCGACGGGCCTCGCTAAGGGCCACGAAGGGCCGCACGAAGGGGCCGTGAGGGGCCGTGAGGGGCCACGAGAGGGGCCGTGGGGCGCGACTCGGGCAGGAGCGAAACGCGCTCCGGTCAGAAAAAAAAAAGTCGAAATGTCGGTGGGCCCAAGGAAAAAAAAATGTTCCCACTAGGGAACCTGCTCTATACCATGTGAAGAAACAGGAATGAATGAACTAGCAGAATGTTGGGTACAAGTAGGAAAACCTAGAAATGTTGTACCCCATATGGTCTAACCCACTACAGCCTACAAAGACTATAGCATATATGTTTGACACCCCGCATTGGGATGCCCGAAGTACACACACTGGGATTCGAACCCGATACCTTCGCTCTGATACCATGTGAGAAGAAGTGGCGAAAATCAGTGCATTAGGTGAAAGGTGGGAGTACAAGTAGAATGTCGAGAGAAATTCGGTACCCCCTAAGGCTAAACCCACTACAGCCTAGAGATAAATAAACACATAAGTGTGATTATATTTTTGCCTGCTTGCTTACCCTTGCTAGGGTATGATCACTGTATTGCTTGTTCTCTTTTATATAACTCTGCATGTGAACTGGCTTTGAGGTCCTTTGCTTGTGCTCGGAATGTGTGGTGACTTTGTGATCCACCCTAAGCTTGCTTTTCTTTTCTTGACTGGTCTTGTGACCACTTGTTCTCCCCCACTGTGCCTATTGGGGTGTGTTAGAATGTTATATTGCTTAGTTTTGTGTAGGCTATAATGGGGTAGCCCATAACGGGTACAACCCAATTAGGGTTAGTACTTGTACCCAACTTCTGTTCAATGCATTCATTCTCATTCATTGTTTCGACAGCCGCAACCTCCGACTGCCACAGGACAGCAAGCTTCTGTTATAGTCACAATAGGCTTGAATGTGCCTAAAACGAAAGATGGAGTGCACAGACGGATTTCTGCAGAGCGGCTTCAAACGTTGATAGCGTTCTGCTCACAGCTTTAAATGACTTGCTATAAAATGGATCTGGAGCTTCTTGATGTCGCCTACAATAAGCAATTTAGATTGCACGATTTGATAAAGAATTGACGACACAGCGTTGGTTTGAACGAACGGCACTATGGCAGCCACTATAGTCTTAGAACTCAAGATAGAAAGAGTTAGGAAGAGTTACGAGTTGGGAATGACTCCCAGCTCCTACAAACCCCAAGAGCTGAGGTACAGTGAGGTGGAACAGTGCCACACTGTCCCCAACCACGAAGGGTCTCGAAACTACCCTCCACAAGGGCCTACACCAAGAGAAATGTTACACTACACAAAGTAATGCAACTATTCTCACTATCTTAAAGTTTACCCTTTTGGAGAGCTTCGAAATCACTTGATTCTTGAAACCAAGGCTCTGGTTCTTCAAGATAAATTCTTCCTTGAGTTCTTGGAAGTCTGCTGCACACACCTGCGACACACCGAACGTTCCACACACGACAAAATAGAAAACGCACACGACACGCAAACGACGACGTGACACGCGACTAGCGATAACTCGCTATTGACTCGACACACACATTCAAAGTCATGCCTCATCATTCACACACTATTATAAGCATGAAATCTATATTATCTCATGCCCTACTACCATTCCATGCACACATGCATGCACGCACACGGACAACAAGCCGAATGCAAACCGTAGGGTTGCATCAACAAACTCCCCCTCGGATTGTTGGCCTTAGGAACTTGCTCTCTCAGTTCAGAGCCATCCCAGCCAGCTTGCAACACTTCCAATGCTGCTGCTCCACCAGCCTCTTGGTCATCATGTCAGCTGGCTGCCCCGTCGTCTTCACGTAGTGCAACTCAACTTCACCCGCGGCCACCATGCTCCTCGTCCAATGCCATTTCACCCTCATGTGCTTGGTGAGGCCATGCAACACAGGGTTCTTAGCAAGAGCAATGGCACCCTGGCTGTCACAGTAGAGTGGGGTAGGTCCTTGCTGCTCCTCCCCCGATTCAGCCAACAAACGCCGCTGCCACACAATCTCTCGTACGGCACGGAAGAGTGCCATATACTCGGAATCCACCGAGCTCAATGCTTGATCCACCTGCTTCTTGCTCTCCCAAGCAGTTGGGCCTCCACCTACACAGCAAATGAACCCTCCAACACTTGTCATGTCCTCTGGTTCAGAAGCATAAGAAGCATCCGAGAATGCGGTGAGGAACAAACGCCCGGGTTCAACACCATCCGCGCCCTTTTGGCGCCTTTGCGCCGCCGCCGAGTATTGCAGCCCAACGGTCGGTGTTTGGCCAAGATACTTGGCCACCCTCATTCCAGCTGCTACCTGCTCCTCATTAGGGCATTGAACAACCCTAGCCAACTGTCCGGTAGCAAACGCGACGTCCGGTCGGGTGTTTACCGCCGCGTACATGAGGCTGCCCACCAACGAGTGAAAACAGCGCCTCTCGTCTTCACCAACACTCTCCTCCTCTGGTCCTTTGACACACTTGAACCCAGAGGGAAAGGGTGTAGCCACATGGCCTTCACTCTGCCCAAAGGTGGCAGCCAATGCCTCCAGGTACTTCCGTTGATGCACCCGCATGCACCGCTTCTCCACATCTCGTTCGATGTGAAGCCCGAGGTAGAAGCTCACGTCACCAAGGGCCTTGCACTTGAACTTGTCTTGAAGCTTCAGCATCACCTCCTTCACAAGGTCAGAGGAGGGTGAGAAAATGAGGATGTCATCCACATAAACCACTATGAAACTCCTCTGCTCCCCCTCGTCAAGCATGAACAATGAGTGATCGGCCGTTGAGGGAGTGAAGCCGATCTCCTCCAACACTCCTCGCAACTTCAAGTACCACGGCCTAGGGGATTGCTTCAGTCCATAAAGGGCCTTCTTCAGCCTCAAAACTCTACCACTACCATCATCAAACCCCTCTGGCTGCGCCATAAAAATCTCTTCCTCAAGGACGCCGTTGAGGAATGCCGTTGTGACAACCATTTGTTTCACCACCCATCCTTTGATGGCAGCTCCCGCGAGTAGGGTTCGCAGCGTCGTCGGCTTCACCACAGGAGCAAACAACTCCTTATAGTCCATATTCTCCTTCTGCTGGTACCCCTTTGCCACAAGCCTAGACTTGTAGCGCTCGATCTTGCCGTCGGCGTCGGAATTGATCTTGAAGAGCCACTTGGACGTAATCGCCTTACGCCCCTCCGGTAGCTCCACCAATTCCCACGTGCCGTTCTCCTCAATGCTTTTCAGCTCACTCTCCATTGCCTTCTTCCACTCCTCAGCATCACTGTTCTCCAAGGCCTCCTTGAGAGTTGCTGGTTCCCCCGGCATCTCCACCAGAGAGAAGAACGCGAAGGCACACTCCTCGTAGCCACTCTCCTCGTCTTCTCCAACCATAAGTGCCGCTCCGGCCAAGGCTGACTTTGCTGGCTTTCCCAGTGCCTCATAGGTCAGCCTATTAGGGGCTTGAATTCTCCTCTTGCCCCTTCCTTCCTCCTCAGCTGCAGGGACATGAAGGCCTTGGCGTTGCTGCGAGGTGACTCGGATCCGTGGAGCACTCGTAGTGCGAGAAGGAAGTGTCGGTGCACGCTCGCTCACTTGCTGCACCTCCTCCTCTTCTTCCTCTGCATCCTTGGCCTCCTCTCCCCCATTCACAAGGGAAGATTGCCTTGTGGTGGTGCTCCCGCTGCTCAGCTCCAAGGGCAGCTCCACATGCTCCAAACCGGAACTCTTCACGTCCCCCAACTGCATGCCTATCTTCGCCTCATTCTCCGCCTTCCAATCCTTGTACATCAGATTCTCCATGAATTTGCAGTCCCTGCTCACCAAGAATTTCTTGGTGAAAGGGTCCCAAAGAAGCCACCCCTTGCTGTTTTGAGCCATGCCCAAGTGCACAGCCCATATCGACTTGGCACCGAGCTTGTTGTGCCGAAGATGCTTAGGCACGAGCGCCATGCACATGCACCCGAACACCCGAAGCATATCCACCTTTGGCTTCCTTCCAATCCACTCCACATAGGCAGGCCCCCAAGACGCCGCGACGAGAGAGGAACCCGCCGCGCGCTTCGGGGCGCACGGCGGGCAGAAAACCGCCACGCGCCCTGAGCGCATGGCGGGAAGAAAAATAGGAGGTCGCGCGCCACGGGGCGCGCGACACACAGTAGAGCAGCGGAAGCAAGTGGGCCCACAGGCCAGGAGCGTTAAGCTCTGATAACATGTTAAAGTTCTAGAGTGTAGTAGGCTTAGAAGCCATAGTTTAGGTGCCTTAGTAGCTTAGGTTTTAGGGTGTAAGGTGAATGTCGAGAAAGTTGAGAAGGAGAATGTGATTCACTAGCAAGAGTTGGGATACAAGTACAACACCCTAAATTGGGTTGTACTCATTACAGAGTACCCCAGTACAGGCTAAACAGCAAATACATTCTGACACGCTCAACTATCACAAGGGTGCGACTATTGCAGGGCCTAGTGTGGAGGGGAGGAAGGGGGGGGGGGGGGGAGGAGTGGAGGGGAACATTCCCACCCCTCCCCTCCCAGAGGAGTACAAGTTGGAGGAGGATAGGGAGGTGGAATTGAACGAGGACGACATCTGCGTCGATGAGTATTAGGACTGAGGACGAGCACAAGGAGGGAGAGAAGGAGTGAGACTGCTGAATCTGTTACACACAACAAATATTTCTTTACCAAATATATTCACTTTGTAGAACCATTCAATGTATTTCTTTGGTATGAGGTTCGTAAGGACAACGGGACTTTTGTTCGCAATCTTGTTGTTCTGTTGGTGGATATGCCTAACTCATACATGGTGTTTACTTCTTAAATATGTTCTAGATTTGTTGCAAATGTGTGGAGAAGTTCGATTTAAAATGGTTAGACTTTATTGCTGTGTTTACTGTCTCAAATCATTTGCATTGCAAAACGCATTGCAAAGCTTGCTCATGCTATCCCCTTTCTTTTGTGTAAAACTTGCGGTTTTCAAATGTTGCCATACTCACGGCCTTCAAATGTTGCCACATTTACGACGTTGATGGAGCATCTGCTGAAAGGTCATGGGGCAACAAATTTCAAGGTGCAATTGATGGTGATGGAAGTTCGACCTCCTGATGCCGACCGTCGTATTTATCTTGCGAAGCTTATTTGATGAACCCCGTGGGTGTTGTTATAGAGGTGTTTTTTATTAAATAATGCACCTTCTAGCACCAATAGTTGTGTTTATTTGATAAGACATTCGTGAACGCAAGACATTTGTTGGCAATATTGTTGTACAGTCTATTGGTGCATATGTCTAACTCATTATTGGTGCTGGATTCTTTTTCTAAAGTTGGTGCAAATGTATGAAGAAGTCTACCAGAAAAGGGTTAGATTTTATTGTTGTGTTAAGTGTCTAA